CACGGAAAAACTCAAAACCTCTCGGATGATCGGCAAGCGTGTTATCCGCTACACCAACTCGACGTCTCAGGAGGCCCTGTTTTTTGCGTCCCCTTCTACAGCCTCTGCCGGGTGGCCACTCATTCCATGATTCATTTGGCTCTGTCTCTTCACTGTGCGGAACTATCCTGTCCTAGAATTCATCATAGAATAAAAGATTATAGTAATTGTAGTGCAACTAGCCGTCTCCTGGCGTCAGCCGGCAACGGATCCTAGGGTGCTTTCAGCACTACTTGAGGGCCAAAAGCCCACAAAAAGTGTCCGGGGGAGCGACTAAACAAAATTTTCATCCGTATGCTTATCTCGCGAACCGATTTGTTTGGTGTGGTAACTGAAATCATATCCACAAAAGCGATAACTTGCAGATATCACGAATTTTTAGCTCTTTAAGTCTTGTTCTTTGTAAGTTCATTGGTTTCATTCTTTTATCGGTTGTCTATATGTTTCGCTTATCACTAAACAGATAGGTACGGTATTCGCACAATGGAGTAGAATTTTCAAAAGCTATGACGTGTCCCTGATGAATTAAAGCAATCGGGCAATTGAGTCCGGTGCACCGGTTCAAACTTTTGAGCCCCATTTCGACATCACGGGGCCTCAGAGATACTGGGAAATTCTTCCACCAAACTTTTCCACCAAACGTATGAGTACTCCAATGGACAACGAAATTTGATGAGCTGCAAAAATACGGATGTGGATTGAAATGGTTTTTGGTCTGAGCACACAAATTGCAAAATGCAACATTCTAGCGCAAAACGTTTTACCCCACCCTCAAAGGTTTAGCATCTAAAAGCACTGTGCCGATAATGGCCCCGTTACAGGGTCCTGGGTAAACTATCCACACAATGGAAATATCCAAGACCCCACAGAATACGTCAAAATTAGGTCCACTGCGGCTCTGTTACAATTCCCGAACCATACACAGTCCGACACAACATTCGTTCACAGAATTCACATTCTTGCCAGTTATTTGCTGAAATGCGAAGGCCATGAGTAGCCAATCTTTCTGGCTCATCTCACGACACCTGTCATCACAATGCTGATTAGACAAGAGGGCTAAAGGCCTAAAAACAAATCTCGCGGATTCCCCACACTAAATTAAGCGAACCTGACCGGAGTGCTTGTTTTACTGGCCTAACTATGGTTACAGATTTCCCCGGGAATTCGTACCACCAAGCTGGCCTGTAATAATGAGCTCATTTAGCCTCCATGGATATGGTACTAAGGATGCCACCTGTCTGGTATTATGTAGAGCACATACATAGGGTATCTCGATCTTTTTACTGCGTCATCATTGCTGGATAAGACTTTCGGTCTTTTGAGACCATAAAAAGGTCTTCCAAAAAACATCCGCATACAAAGTGATGCCGTTCAAGGGTGTACACTTCATTCCTGTTCGCTTTAGTGATAAGCAAGGTAATGAGACAAAGCCTTGAAAGTTTAAAAAAACTCTGTTTTTACAAAGGTGCCACGAAAAGCCCTCTAATCTGAACTGTGTGGACGACATAATCCTCGTCTTTGGAGTAGAGAAGAACGCGCAAATGCTTTGGGTAAACTGTTCAAAGTCATCTCGTTCTTTGGTATGCGCTTTGTACTCATCAAGTATGGGGACATGCTTCTGGACATGCAGTAGCAGAAGGAGCCACTGACAGTTCAAGGAGAAGTGCTTGAACTAGAAGAGCGTTTTTGGTTTCCAATGGTAGTGTGATAGATGAGATCAGTGCACAAAATTGCAAGGCGCGGATTGCTGTTTGTAAGCGGAGACACCTATAGTGGCAAAGCGACGTATCGCTGTATCTCAGTCGGTGTGCCAGGTTACACTATGGGTTGTTTTTTGTGTGTTTTGGACTTGGTTTGGAGTGGGACACCTTTAGATCTTTGACTACTATTCACTAAGAACTATCGTTTGTGTAGGCCGTTTTCGGTGGACCAGTAACGAGACAGTTATAGAGGAAGCATTCGGCTGTTCGTTTCAATCAAAGAGTATGTTCAGCATCAAAACCTGCGTTAATTTCCTGCATATTGTTTACGTTGACTCATTTTTTCCAAAAAGAGTGTTATTTTTCATGCCTAATATAGGGTAATGTAGGTGTGGAAGCGGTCAGCCTTCAACCTAGTAGAAGATTACGGAAGGTCCGAATATTATCAATGGGAACCGTGCGGTTTTCACTGTGCCTGGTTGGATAAGCTACAAGATATAACTGACAATAGTTATCAGTGGTGCACCTTTTGTCACTTTCATGCATATTATCTGAATGAGTGTCCGGAGGTGGAGGCATATCGGATTGATTGTGGTAAGCTAGCACTATGTCCCTTCCTCCGGCACTTGCATTTCTCTCTCACTATAAGTCATCAAACAAATAATAGTTACACAGCGGAGAAGCATCAGTGTCTGACCACTGATTTTATGCTGTTCATGGTCATGATGGTGATATTGACGATTATGTAAGGAGGAGAATATAGTTTTTAAAGTCAAGTCCATTTGGAAACTACTATTCAGCCGAACGAAAACGAAAAATTAGCATGCCTATTCAACCAGACCAAAGACCAGCTGCACGAACATGGTGGTGACGAAAAAAGTCTGGTTACTGTGAATTATTTGATGATATAAAAGCGACTTCCACTCCAACACTCGATAATCATGTAACCATTCTCCAAGGACCAATAACTGTTGGTGCCCGAAACGACTTAATTGAAACTCGACTCCTCCCATCTGACATCCGAGGCATTTTTCGGTGTTTGATGATCGTTGTTTCCGTAGGATAACAAGGATTAGCTGGCTTCCACAAGTCCGAAAGAAGGTTGTGAGTGAGCTAGCATTTTGTAGTGAGTACATTTCATTAGAACAACGGAATAAATTTACCAGATTCAGGTGGCTGGGGCGCGTTTTACGTATGCCTAGCCACCATCTATAGAAGGCGCTGACTCCCTTCTCAGGCGATTGTTGAGCAAGCAGGAAAGCTGGCGCTGTCATACTGAGTGTTGTGGGATCCTTGCGGCATCTTGGTTGAGTTCCAGTTGATCATGCTTTTTAGTGTTTGGAAACACTCAAGGACATGGCGCAAAACTGACCTCAGTGGTATACATGCTGTCACTTCATAACCTCACTTCATATTTGAAGCTTGCTTTCTTTGCGCCGTACTTAGATCGAAATACGTTGGGTTAATATCGATGATTATATCTTTTGTATGCTGCCCAGATGTATTTATTTTAGTGATGCTCAAAGTTGTGCTATTTGCTTTCCCCAAGGACAAAAGCTTCTTTGCAATTATTGCCTGTCTCTCCTTACTTCTCTCCCCTTACTAAGACTTCCCACCTAGCTGTATGGCAGTTAAACAACAATGTGCATTGGTAATGTATTGCAATAACTGATGCTCTAACTGGTTAATACTAACGTGAGACGTCTTTGAGTAGGCGTTAAAGATTTTAAACATGGGTAGTCGACCATCAATTGCATTTATTCTTCATTATGAGGATATGATAAACGTAGGAAATGTAAGACTTAGAAACTGCAGTAGGAGGTTACAAGGCATGCGGGTGTAACTGCGATAACAATACCTACAGACACATTACCGTCTACGTTATTACAGGACTCAGATCGGCTTAAATCAGGAGGTGTCGACAGAGTGGGACATAATGGAAGCAGCTGGTGAGTTTCACAGCGATAGATGCCTACCTGAACTATCGCAGCATTGCACGAAATCCCAGGGATATGGGTTCAAGACTGATGCACGTGCGCAACGTGCACATAGAACATCGAATCGATATCAGCCACTGAAGGGCTTTCAACAACCTTATAGGTATTGTCATATCAAAAGTCTCCTAGAAAGTTCTCATCAGTATTCTCGGCAAAGTGTCAAATACTTCTTGGCTAACATCGTGTTCTTACGAACTCACCAAGGCTGCTTATTCCACATAGGAGATCAATTTGTGAGCATCCGACTTGTTATGTTAATCACAGTTTTGTAATTTGTACTGCATGATGACGGCGTTGGGTCTACAGAAAATCTTGCACACTACAAAAGTTCATCATTTGCGGTGTCCAAAATAATCTTCCGGAACTAGAGTTCATCGCTGACAGCCAGAGTTTATTTGAATCCCTCATCATAATCTCTCTTCACTCTTTTCTGTACCAGGCAAGTGCATGAGGCCCGCAAATGTCGCTAATCATTTCTGTTAGATCCAGTTCATTTTAGAGTAACATTGCATTAACGGCATGTTTGGTCTAGCTGCTACATTTTCGTTCACCATACTAATAGGCTTTACGCAAAGCAAGCGTATACAGACATAAGCAACTCTCAACTACCATATCAGTTTACTGAGGGACTGCGCTATTTCGGCCTTGGGAGCCAAAATGATCCAAAAGGATGATGCTGCAATTACATGGTAGTTGTCAGCGCCAGAATGTCAGAATACCAAAAAAGCTTAAAAAGAGCTTGCTTTTTAGTGATACTATCACAGTTTCTGTGCCTGGTGGTCTTAGTACTGTTACAAACGCACGTTTTTTAACAAGCTCCTATTTTCACCATATCAGCACATACATCCCCAATTCCGTGGCTAGTGGAAGATGACAATCTTTGAACACTGATCGGAATAAAAATGGATTCATGCTAAGAATAGCAGTTGTTTTTGACTTTGTGTGTGGTTGTTACATGAAATAGGGTGCCCAGTGCAATAAAGAGAATAATTTAGATTAAAAACGTCCAAAACAATAAAAGATGGGTGATTTCTCGCATTGGGCATCTTTTCACTGCTGAAGTCCGATGTCGTCGGAATTACTGAGGGGAAAATTGCGATACGAAATATAAATTTTGTCTTAGGGAATGCTTGTGTTATCCACTAGCTTTTGTTCACTCGGTTTTGTCCGGGGCAGTGGATCATAATGAACTTGTCTGCTCTGGATTTCTGTCCCCACTAATTAAACTGCGGTGTCTTGTTTTATATCTAGTTTCAATTTTTTTCAGCTTCATGCCATTGGGCTGCGTTGAAAATGTTGAGTTCCTCTTCACATGCAGATAAGTTTGTAAAGCTGGCTACGTCCCTAGATGAACAACATCCTCCAGAAAATGTGTTAGATAGCGATGACAAGTCGTTTTGGATAACTACTGGGATGTTTCCACAAATGCTTGTGCTCTCGCTGACTGAAAATACCAAGGTTGGAAATGTGACTGTCATATCAAGTTGCATCAAAAACATGTGGGTAAGTAGTTGGTCTAATGGCAAACCTTTCAAGCGTACTTTGAAAAGTTTGGAGTCACTTATTTCCGTAAAACAGGGTTATTTCAGACTAGGGCTTTGGGGCATAGAATAGCAATCTTAAGCTATAGGGAAGTTTTTTGGATATTAAGCTCTGACGCACCGTAAAATACACCCGGGTGGTATATAATGCGCTGACAATAGAAAGTTTGTCATTTGGGTGGCTAGTAAAGTTCATAGCTGAACTGCACAAGAATGACAAGAAGTAAGCGTCCTCGGTGTCTCACTTAATTTGGTACCCACATGGGACTCGAGAGGTCGTTGGATATAGTCCATTCACTGGTGTGCTTTTGAATCACTTTAAGTGCACTCGCACTCAATGCCTCAGTAATACAGAAATCTTTTGCATTGGAGCTTGGAAATAGTGACTAGTTTCTCATCGTTTTCGGAGCTGTCCGGGGCATAGTTGCTAGCAACTCAAACGAGGGGCATTCTTATATTTAGCGGCTTATTTTACTTCCATCAGGATGTGGAAAGAATGGATAATCATGTCTAGAATCGGGACATCATCATCATCGACAGCATGACATCAGCCTTCAACACCAATGCTTCACTGCCTTAAGAATCGGGGCAACATTTGGGCACTCTGAAGCACTGTGGTAAAGCTACTGGTGAGGGAAAAATAAAGCTGATCCTCCTGAGGTCTTGTTGATGGTCACAAATTTTTTACTCTGCACCTCGGCACGTTTCCCCCGAAAAATGGTCTGCCCAAATGTTGTCTTGATTCTTTTGGGCAGACCGTTTTCCGGGGGAAACGTGCCGAGGTGCAGAGTAAAAAATTTGTGACCATCAACAAGACCTCAGGAGGATCAGCTTTATTTTTCCCTCACCAGTAGCTTTACCACAGTGCTTCAGAGTGCCCAAATGTTGCCCCGATTCTTATTCAGAGTAGGCTAAGCTGTGCACAACAGACTGTGTTGTACTGCCTGCCGATAAGCTTGCGGTATAAGCCAGAACACATTAATTGTGGCTAATATATAAAGCTTGATTATTAGATTTTGATGAAAATAGCTCAACAGAACAACTAATTTCTAACTAATCCCCTAAGACAGAATTACGTTGGGTTTAGTGAGTTTACGTGTTCTCCGGGTCACTCAAGTGAGGATGAAAAAGGACTGACTTCAATGAACTGCAGTACTTATTAGGTACACAAAGGAGGGGTCAAAATGAAGTTATAGTGAAAAAACAGGCAGTTTTTTTTACATAATTCCTCCAAAAAGGATCACATAGTATTTGTGATAAAATTTTCTCTTCATCCAGTATTTTAGAAATGAACATGATAAAATCATACCTCAAACAATGAAAAGTGGGCTAGTAATCCTATAACTAGCCAAAAAAATATATAAATAAAGCCTAACTCAGCTGGATCAATGTAAAAGAAGCGGAGCTATGACCGTTCTGTGAACGAAAATTGGTTCTTATCGATCAATTTGTCTTTATTAAAGAACAATATACTGATTTACTGGTGTTTGTTCAGGCTTACTACTAGGCAATGAAAGTAAATGCAGGTTTCAAGTTAGAAAATGGTTCATTAGAATCAGCCCAAATCAATTCTTCCATAACTTGAAACGTGACGAAACTTGTCCGGGCCCCAGTAAACCAGACAGGAGAAGCACAAACTGTTCATCATCCCGTAATCAAGGTATAGACACCCACTTACGTATGTTGAACGAAGATTGGCGAGTAAATCATCGAACAACGAACCTTAATCGTTCAACGTGAAAAAGTCCGGAAACGACTGAGAAGGGTTTGCTAGAAAACTGATATACATGTAGCTGGACAGAATTTCGATTCTGAATAAAAAAGCTACTTTGGGTGAGGTGCGTAAGATACTAATTTGATGGAGGTTAAAGGCAGACGGGATATCAACAAGAAAGATCTATTTCAACTAACACACCATATCAATTAACATATCAATCAAAAGACCTTGTCCGTTGGCAATAATTCCCAAAGCTTACAGCCAATGGGTTGTAGAGGTTCAGAATAGTTTGATCGAGTTTGTATCATTGATCTTCCAGTTCAAGTTGCTTTAGTTCGTGAGTCCTCTTGCGTGCCACTGACGGATTTTGTTGGTATCTGTGGGTTAGTAAGTGCGACGACGATTTGGTCAATGGAGCGAGTTTATATAGACGTTTGGTTGGCTTGAGCTGTGTAATTTAGATATAAACATTTAATTCTATTAACAATCGAATGCATGGCAATTTCTGCCACCTGGGCTAACAGTTAGTCTCGTGTAATCAGTAGTCTCCGTATAAAAATGCAACATTTTCTAAATTCATTTTATTTCCCATGCTTAGTGCTCGTCCAGCCATTGATGTCTTTCAGCTTAATATTTATCTGTTTTTTATGGTGTTGTTTACTTTTCTGTTGTACTCACCGATTCCTGAAATATAACTAGCCTTCTGTCCCATAAAGGCCTTACTTTGGTTGCTACATTTGATTACAGTCCCTAGTTTAACCAACTAGGAGGCGATCTTTTAATTATACTAGGCACATAGCGTTACGTTAGGATTGTTCGGGAACATTCCAATGAATTTGGGTCTCACCGGTTTATATGGCATATTAGCAGCTTCAGTCAGTTTTGGTTTTGGTCACAACACAAGTACAAATACTATTCTTGGCTGATACTTATGCAAACTAGCTAGATATTCACTATATCAAATTTTGTCTTTCATTTTAATTTGGACCGTTATTGAATCAACTGCTTCTGTGCATGGGGCTTATACTAGGCTAAACATTGACTGGACGATACTGGGATGGGTCGACAAACAATTCAGAATCGTTGAAATGTCAGTTGGCTTCTGGTACACCATGGTTTTTACTTTCTCACAGACCTGTGTCATAAGTCCAGGAAGCATAGTGTGACCGAGGTTGGCGCTACCGCTACACTATATCTGATATGGGATTTAGGTTATCAGGGTAACTATAAGATTTCCTGACCTCACCACTTTTAATTATGGGCGAACTCTCGTTTACCTTATTGGAAAATGTTTTTATTGGGTACGTTTATGTTTGAAGTTTTTCGCGAAGATATTTTCTAAAACCGAAGACATTGGGATTCACACTGCTAATTACTGTCCATGAGCATAAAGCACGGGGTAAACGTGGAGTAAACAACAGGCATCCTTTTACGCTCTCCAACGTTTTGTCCAAGTTAGCCTGTGACCTACAGTAGATGGCTGTTTTGCACAGTCACCTTCGGTAAACAACAGCATCCTTTTAAATCTCCAACGTTTTGTCCAAGTTAGTCTGTGACCTAGAGTAGATGGCTGTTTTGCACAGTCACCTTCGGAACATTTCTTTCATCGATTTGATATCACAACTCACAAGAATACCATATAATTCCACGGAGAAACTGGCGGCTTTGTTGGCGTTATATTGACCATTCACACAAATTTTCTAAAAATTCATGAAGCCTCTCCTGGGGTAAGTTGTACCAACGGAGTGGCTCGTGGGTAACACGGATTCACAGCTCATTCAAGTTACCTTTTAGACGCAGGCCAGTGACTTGTGATGCCGGATTCTGAGTGCCTAATCTGAATTGTGTGGTTCATGATGATTTCTCAGTTACGCTGTTTTTGATCTGCGAGTCATATGAGTAATTTCAAACAGGTCTTATTTTACTAAGCATTATATGACCGAAGCTGTGTTATAGTGCATTATTTTTAAACGAAGGTCAACCACTACACAACCCGTGCTTCGTTACATTGAAAAAATATTGTTTTTTATTACCCTCTATCTGTAATTGCTGGAGCGGCATGCTGATGAAGTTTTTTAAAGTTTTCATAAAGTCAAACCAAATCCTTGGTGCATCCAGGCTGGTCAAGTGCAACATGATCGCGCAGTGTTTAAATTTAAAGCTGTACTTTTCCGAGTACGCCTTGTCATGTATCTTTGAGCTACCGACTGTAGAGATGCTTCGCTCAAACTCTGTTTTGATGTGTCTTCCTTATTCCTATTCAGACTTGAAAATTTGGTCTTTAGGTGAGACTTCTTTCTTGGACGATAAACGCTTCGTTCTATCACCATCTCGAGTTAATGCGGAATTACTAATCCCGTTACTGTCAAGCAGGTTTCTTTATCCTGATTGACCATTCATTGTCGGACATACCCACCACTAGAAGGCTAGTCGGTCAAATGCAAACTGATTTCCAGAGAAATACGGATCACGTTCTGAGCTACTACAGTGACCAACAAAATTACCACAAATCTAGCTACATTTACATACCTTTGGAGCGAACCAAGACACGTTTCATTACTTCAGAGTCCAAAGATTAAAGAAGTAAACCACTCGTACAAGTTTTTAAAGAAGTAGGTGACTGAGAAAACTCATTTTGAGAAGCTCAATAAAGCACTGTGGTCGGTCCTACAAACCAGGAAGAAGGGAAACGAACCACAGTTTCACGATCATGAACAAGACTAGCAGGACAGTATGATAAGCCATGGCCTTCAAGTCTAAATATACCTTGTGGAGCCAACGTTAAAACCGAATGAAATACTGGATTCAGTGGTGAGGAATATTGTTATTTACAACCTTAAATTTAAGAACTGGGGCACACTATATGGACCAAAAAATGAGGCTTTCCAGTAGACCTCATTAACAAAAACTGGCTGTCAAATCTCACGGTGAGTCCTTATTTGCCCTCGTGCACAACGATCAGGAGGGACATGAGTTCCACCGGAGCAAAGCCGGTATACTAGCACAAACAAATCGTGAGTGGACCAGAAAATTACCCCCATCAGCCACTCATTAAGTAAAAGTAATCCTTGAAAGTTACTTACTTGCGGACAAGTAGGATGGAAGCACCTAACCAATTGCGGATTGAATATGTCTTCAATATTGAGAACAAAACTTTTGAGAAAAGATTACCCAGTTTGGTGATCAGGTCAGCGGCCACCAAGCCTGCAACCAAGTGAAGCACACAAACCAACGGTACTTCAACATACTTCCAACCAATTTTCCACCAAAAATCTGTGCAGGCTGTGAATCAGGATGAGAAACGGCTTTTCCACGTTTTATTTTACTTAGAAGTCAAGTTGTAATCGTCATTTGGCAACTGAACATAATTTCAAAGTTTCACCGCGCTACCATGAGGCCTTAAGTAATCTGCCCAGGACGGATTGTACCTCAGAATTTGCACGAGTCTTTCTACTGGGAATTTGTTATTACTGGGACAGCCAACACGTGACCAAGGGTTGCAAATTGCGTGACTGGCGGATTGATGGCAGTGAGTTGATCACACTGCTGATCAGCCGCTCGTGGCCGAACGGTACAATCTACGATGATTCCCAACGGGGATGAAGCAGCTTCTCTATACGTATAGGACCTTTAGTATGCATTGATCTGACTTGCGAGATAAAATTCAAGTTGAAATTTGTTAGCCGTATGGCGTATGCTACATTATCCTTATAGACAGTGCAAAGCCGGGAATATTCCGGCCAGTTCTAAAGGAAGAACATGAGATGCCGGCATAGTAATCAGGAAGTGGTCGCTTTTGAAAATAAGAATGTGCGAATTTTTGGTATCAAGAACATTCTTTTTGATAGAGGCAACTTATGGCATGGATTCCTTTCTGGTTGGAGAGTAATTTGTCATAAACGTCCAAAGAAACTGACTTGTTTGAACATTTTTGACGTAAATTGTAGTAATATTGCTTTGAGTGACTCATAAATTGTCATTCATCTAGTGCGCCTGTTTCAGTGCTTTTGTTTTATCTTTGAAGCCGTACACAACTTTTTCTTCCAGTTAGATAAATCATCAAGATACTGTGTATTTAGTGGTTCAACTTTCTACTCTGAGCATCTAATTTATGAACTACTCCTTATAAGGAAGTAACATCTGCGACGTTTCATTTAGAATGAGTAAATATCTCCCGAGATAAATTTTTTTTGCGTTCTAACATGCAACCGCTGGGTTCATTTTAGCATTGTGCTTTTTTGTTTCCACAAGGTTGAAGTCAGCTCAAATCCGGATCCAGAAGAGTTCGACCTCAAATCAGAACTGACCATACCTTATACGGATGGCCACCTGCAAATCACAGAAGTTCGGGTGAATGAGCAGAACATGCGCCATTTGAGACTAACCATTCGCTCCGGTTACGATCATTTTGTTGCCGTGTATAAAGTTTTGATTGATAGGAAATAAAGACAAAGTCGAGAATCATAGGTTGTTTTCATGCAAGTTTAGTGGGAGTACTAAAGTGGCGTTTGGTGCGGCCAACAAAACGATAAGTTTGTTACTGCAGAAGAGTTTTGACTGGCTAGATAACTGAGTTACTAACAGGATCCGTAATAATGCATGCAGGAGGATATATCCGTTTAAAGACTATATATATATTTATAGCAGCCCTCACTGATGCTGAAACATGGCTTCTGAAATTAAGATAACGTCTCCGCCGGTTTCAAGATTCCTTTTTGGACAAACTTATCCCAAACGTGGCGCCAGATAACGCATGGGATGGCTTTCTTGCAGAGAATTCACTAGAAGAATATCTCGTAAACACCAGTGCCATTTGCAACCGTGTGTATTTCATCAATTACGCACAGTTTGGTGTGTTCAAGCAGATCATAAGTTTGGTGAAACCTCTGGAACTCTGTCTAACTGACGACTGATTGATTACGGATAGCGTGTCCTATGAGGAAAACTATACATATACGACAGAAGACAATTTTGTGGACACTCCATGAGGCGCCATTTCCTCGGAGAAGCCTTTCTTAGAAAGAGTACCATCCTTCATCTTCTCGGTATACTTTTTGGCTTGCACATTTGATGGATGATATCCGTCTGGTTGTTTTTACCCGTCAATTTTTCATAACAAGAACTATTTCAAATAAGGATCAATACAATGCGCGCACTATGTGGTCAAAAATGTGCACAGCAACATAGGTGATCTGCCCGTTATGGTTTTACGACTCGATTATTTTTAATACGAACACTCAATAGATTTTCGCTTCCAACATTAACCTCCAACTGTGCTAGCCTCAACAGTAATCCTTCAAGATTTCGATATGCTACATGTATTATTGTATTGAAGAAGGCGGTGGACGGTTGAAACAAGAACGATGTGGACGCGAATTCGCCAAAACCCGAAAATTCGCAGGTAGATAATTGGGTTTTAAACAGAGAAAATTCAGGTTTACCGCACGCATGCTGTATCAAGCAGAGTAATGAGCAACCATATCGTATTTTATTAGAATATGAGCGACCGATTGGGCTGTGAATTCGAAATTTACATCGGCCTAGTGAGTTTAGTTCCCTTTCTTCGGTAGTGGACATACAGTCTACCCACTGTCTTCCTCAATATCGATGGAAACAAATTGGTTCGATGCACTAGAACCAAATTTGTTGGTCATCTACGTTTCTTTGAAAAAAATGGAGTTGTAGGAAAATAAGCGCAATTAAAGTTAACGTTAGCAATCAATGGCAATCAATGCAAAGAGATTTTCTCTTCAAGTAAAACCGATGTGTCAGTATCGTCGCCTTAGTGGTTGGACGCACTTTTTCGTTTCACAGGAATTTCGTAGAACAGCCTCTACACAAGGCTACAAGATTTCTAAACTATATAAGCAGACTTGCTTCACAGCCTTTTGATGTGTGGGGACAGAGCTGAGGAGCAAGAGCGAACATACGAACTTTGTAAGAAAAATAGTAACTACAACCTCCAATTTTGGGTTGCTGGGAAAGTCCTGATCTAAAACGTCTCTGAATCTTCCACTAATCTGAAAATCGGCTTGCTTGCTCCATCCTAACAGATTTGGAAGTAACGGCGAGAATTTCCTCAAATGCTGTTTCCAGGGTTAAGTCCCCCCTAGTGCTGAAACCTGCATGTTTAATTATTGAAGTGCATTCTCACCATGCTGATGAGGTCGCGCCACTGAATTTTTCTGGTTCCAAAGTTGCTGACCAATGATCAAAAAGCTTTTACTTCTTTACCGCAACCATTAGGATTTTTCTCGTTATTGGAGGAGACCACTTTTGGTTCGTGAACGTCGAATCAATAGCTGGGCTAGCGTCAAGGCTGAGAGCAACAACGAGTTTGTTTATGTTGCTTGAGATCTCGATGTTCAGCAATTGTAATTACAGTATTTTCTTCAGCTTAGCAATCGATATGAGCTTCCCAAGCTAGCATTCCTCTCAAAACAACCAACAAAGTTGCGCAAAGTATATTAACGCCTAAAGCCGAGTCAAGAACAGTCCTATAGCCCGTCGCATATATGGTGTAACCGGCAACAAAAATGGAAATTATGACGTTTTCTGGATATGACATTGGAAACCGGCTTTCGGCCAATACTGAGTCATGATTGACTTTCGACCAGTCAGAGCTCGTCTTGATACCGGACCGGTAATCGGTCCGAACGTTTGGCCAATCTTGTTTGCGATAAGCTTTTGGGCCGTAGCAGATCCTAACTGTGAGCTGTAAAGTGGCATCCGTGTGGAATTCCGCCTAAAAGCAATGGAGCAAAACAGTGATCCCAGCACGTGGAATTTGAGTGTGGCCCATCGCCATACTGAGAGGTCGCCATGACCCACGGCACTGTAACTTTGAGATAGGTTAGACTGACTTGGCAATGCGAAACAGCTGGCACTGAATGCAGTGGAATGAACCCGATACTTACAAAGTATCACACTAGAGAGGTTCAACGGCATTTCTGGGTCTGTATTCTTTTAGAAGCGGCAAATTTCCAAAGATCACTTTACTGCCATTGACCAGCACCCTGACTAATCAAGCGAAGTTATTTGTATCAGAAATGGACTAGATACTTCTATAGTAGAGAGCAGGCCGTGCTTGGAAACATTCCACTTAGCTATCAGCACCAGTGTGGAACCGTATAATATCATTTTTTCTCCAAGAGGGACTCTCCGTTAGTGAACAGATCCGGAAAGTTAGACAATCATATATGGTTTACTAGTATCCAAAACAGATATAGCGGTCAACAGCGGTTGACCGACTGAAGGCATATACGCAGTGGGTAAAGCATGTGCACAGTAACATGTAATTTTATACCAAGGCTGCTTATACTGACATAAACCAAGTAAAACGGTTTTATTCGTAATGGGTGGCTGCTCATATGCTCACCAAAATTAACAACCACATTCGCAAGCACCTCATTGCCAGTCAGGAAGGTCTTGTTGGTGAACGCGATGACGATTACTGACGATATGTTTGCTAACCAATCAGCAAGCTTGGGGAACAGATCGATGGCCACCTGACCAACAACATACGAAAGTAACAAACCAACTAATAACCTGACTCATTATCAAGCTCCTCAACCAACGTCACTTTCGTCTGTTTAGGCTAGGAATGCAAAGAAACGAAACCGAAATTAGGGTATGCTATCTTCGTTAGCAAATCTTACTACGACAGTTTGAAAATTCACCACAGATTACAACGATTCCTCAGAAGCGGCCTTTAGAGAGGGCTCACACTCTTGGAGAATCAAAACAGTACCCTCTATCGATGGAGAACCTAGCGGGGAGTAGTCTCTTTTTGTAATGAAAGTTTATTGCGTATGCCCTCTCATACAACAACGGAAATAATTAACTACTTAGGAATAACAAGAGTAGTGCGAGTGAATGTATTTTGAAAACGAGTCGCACTGAGCACAATCACACAGGTCGCGGGCGACAGCGTTCGTGGACAGACAGGACTGATCAATTCATCTGGGAGAGTTTTCACTTCAGAAGGGTCTTGTAAGCAGTTGGCAGATGCATTGCTGGGCACCTTTTATATTTTCACACAAAATCTTCATCAGATCAGATGATTAAGTTACCAGGCCGACTGGGTTTTAAGGCAGATGGAAAATCAGTTGACAAGAGCCCCTGAACCTAGCAGATTTAATTAATGCTACGTGTTAGTCAGAAAGTATTGTTGGTCAGTGTATATAACTAAAATTTTATCCGACAGCTTAGAGGGCAAATATTATCAAGTTGAATTCTTCCTCTTTCGGTTTAAGAATGTTCCCCTTGGATGCTGTTCAAAAAGTTTGTTGATCCTTTTGGGTAACTGGATTGGGACTTTGGAGATTAGATAGGACCTGGGTATTTTACTGAGAACTACTCGGTTGGTCTAAAACCACTCTCAATATATTCGTCAGAGTCACGCCCCCTATCCTATGCCAGCGTTTGTGAAGGTTTTCACCGCCTGATATTTGTCTGTTTACGAGATGTTTTCGTTCCCAAACGGTGACGTGCAGCTCTCTAGCTACTTGTTCCATGGAAACCTCATACAGTCAATACCTCCTGTATACAATATTTTAATCCTATCGACCGGAAAACACTCAGTTGATGCAACTGTACTGAACTTTAATTCTGGAATGCTACACCAGGGCTAGCCATATTTAACACCTTTCTAAGGAACTCATTTATCGTTGTTTAGTGTGTGCTGACTACTGTTCCGAACCAATCTTTGGTGTGTCCTGATGATGGAGACGGCAATGAGCTTAACTGAGGCCTAATTAACTCCACTGTTTTGCCTTGATTTGTGAAGCCTTTTGGTCCAATCTTTTGTGTTCGGTTAAAGAATGATGAAACTACACTAGATTATAATACGTTCGGAAGTTTTAGACAGCAGGCAAGTCTGTTGGTTTTAGTAAACAGTAGTTTTAAATCCCTCGTCTTGTGTATCATGCAGCCCAAAAGACAGTGTGCCAGTATACCTAGCTCTATGCTGAAAATTTCAAGCAATCGGTAGAAATCCATAACTTTACCACGCCTTACCAAAAAGGTGTCCCCCAGGAAACTTCAGGTACTCTCGATAGATACAAAAATCGGGCTAAGGCCTTCTGTTTAAAGTCCTAGATATACATGTTTTATTGAACATACACAACCGCACGAGAGACAAAAGTGACCGAGGTTCAAGCGTTTCTGAATGTCCTCGACAATTTCATTTGCATCGACACTTGGATCGTCCATTTAGGAATAAATGTAAACATCTATTGGACATCAAAACTAACGAAAACCCCGTCTAGCTCTGGAGAAACCTCAACTACTTATTTAATAGCAAAAAAGTGAATTTCAAGGGCTAATGGATGATTAGCCACTTTTGGTTTTGGGTCGTCTGCCGGGAACCTGGGTGGACTGCTTTACCGTGAAGTATTGCCACTCACTGGGTGCCTCATAAAGACACGTGCTATGTTAATTAGCGGTCGTATTGCAC